GGACTGGTCTGGACTGGACTGGACTTGGACTATGCTTCCATCATTGTCCTTTCTATAAATATTTATTTATTTGGTCAACAACGGTTTTCTTGAAGGAAATTTGAATACCTTGTTTTTAGCAAAATTTTCAGTGAGCAGATTAAAGAAAGGTGGAAGTTAAGTTACTAATGGTAATTAAATATTAGGGTGCACATGGGATGAGCTCTGCAACTTCATGCGTTTTGAAATATATCTCTGTTTGTGTATAGATTTGGGCCACCACGTATGCAAACATGCTAAAGGTTGTAACGGTTGAACAGAGCTCTGCAAAACCTTTTCATTTTGGTAGTCTATTTTGTATAGGGCATTGACAGTGAAGGTAGAACCTGCTTTTATGCGTAACTTTTGCTAGTTCAGTCGTCCACTCGTGCGTTTCAAATTTGTCTGCCGATGAAGCAGTTTAAGCGTGTGTGTCAAATCTGGCTGTTGATGAAGCGGTTTACTTGCGTATGTCAAATCTGACTGATGGATTGTGAACCCTAAAAGCATCTTGAGAATCATATCAACATTTTTATTATTTAAAGATCAGCATAGATTAATATTGGGTTAGAATCTAATTGCTGTCTTGTCATCGACGAAGACAGCTGGTTTTGATGGTTTTGGCCCTTTTTGGGGTTTTTCTGACGATGACTTTGAGTTGATGGTGCCAACATTTTATTTAGTCTTGGATGCAGGATTAAGCGTGTGATGTTTATACATGGTGGCTTTGACTTCAAAGCAGGTTGAACTCTAGTTGGTTCACCCCATAGGGATGAAGAGACATATGCGAAGGTAAATTCCTGTTTCTGTGGATTTGATAATCTGATTCGATCATCATAGTCAACATTTGAGGTTTGCCTCACTTTTAATGGCTCAGTAAGTAAGAGGATTTCAATTTTTTAGTCATCAATAAACCTCATGTTTTTATTTATCATTTCGTTTACAACATAACCCAAACTCAACAATCCATATAACAAAACCCAAAACCAAGTCCATAGATTCTATCCATCCCAATATAAACCCAAAACTAAGTCAATGAATTCTATTCATCCCAATACATAACCCTTTGAAGCATTTGGAGCAGCTTCTTGACTCATAGCTTGCTCGTAGCTTGACTCGTAAGCAAGTACGAAGAAACTCGAAGGGAGAATCAAAACATATGTTTCTCTTGAGATCCAAAGTTTGGTGAAACACGGTCCTGAAACCAGCTACAACTTCTTGCAATGCTTCACCAAAGCTTTCCACCACTTTCTTTGGTTTCATATTTTGCCAATTCTGAAGTGGTAGCATGTAGCATGTTCTCAAGAAACCAGAAGAAACCCAGTTCACAGGGACCAATTTGCGGCTAACATGTGTGCCAGCTAAATCAATCCCCATGGATGTGATTCCTTCTGCTTATGGTTCTGTTCTCCCTATTCTGGTGAATCACTAATTCGATATTGTCAAGTCCATGCTAGACTCTACAGTTCTAGCATCATTTTCCCCTTCATCTTCGCCTTCATCATTTTCCCCTTCATCTTCGCCTTCAGACCGCTGATGAAATACATTCACCATCATCTCTCTATCTCTCTTACAGAGGAACCCAAATATTTAATCAGAAATGAATTAGAACTGGAGATGGCGGAATGCTTGATGTTTAGGTTATTTTTATAGTTGAGCTGCAGGGTTCTAGCAGGGTTATTTTGAAAATAAAAAGGGTTGTTCTGTAATTTTCTGGCCAGAGAAAATACTAGGTGCTGTTTGTTGGCAAGTGCATGCATGATCCCGGAATTATCTTGCTTTCTTTTTTGGTCGGTTATTACCTGCCTACAAACCTCAAATTAATATTTTACTTTAATCTAATCTAAACTACGAGAAAGAGGATTCAAACTCAGATGCAGACTGAGGAACGCATTTACTCTAACTAACTTGACTAAGCCCATGTCTGCAATTTCATATCCAACTTTAGATATTGTATCTAGTCATCTCAAGTTGAAGTGAAACACTTTGTATCTAAAAATTTTGTCATTCCTCCAATCATTTTTGGGGAATTCATATTCATACTCTTATGTTATTTTATCCAAATGAGTGTCGAAATTTTAACAACAATTAATATCATATCCGGAGCATAGATTATCTAGTCATCCCAAATTCAACTGAAATACATTGTTTCTCATATTTTTAGTATTCTCCAATAAGGTAAAGCTTATTTTGGAAATTCAAATCTATGAGTTTTTAACAGCAACTAATTTCATATCCAACTTTTTACCTTATTTTGGAAATTCAAAATATGAGTTTTTAAGAGCAATTCATTTCATATACAACTTAGATATATTGTATCTAGTCATTCCAATTTCAATTTATATACATTGTATATCTAATATTTTATGATTCTTCCAATTAATTTAAAGCTTATTTTAAATTTAAATCTAAGAGTTTTTAACATCAATTAATTTCATATCCAACTTAGATATATTGTATCTAGTCATTCCAAATTCAACTTATATACATTGTATATCTAAAAAATTTTATGACTCTTCCAATTAATTTAAAGCTTATTTTGGAAATTCAAATATATGAGTTTTTAACATCAATTAATTTCATATCCAACTTAGATATATTGTATCTAGTCATTCCAAATTCAACTTATATACATTGTATATCTAATTTTTTTTTGACTCTTCCAATTAATTTAAAGCTTATTTTGGAAATTCAAATATATGAGTTTTTAACATCAATTAATTTCACATCCAACTTAGATATATTGTATCTAGTCATTCCAAATTCAACTTAAATACATTGTTCACTCATACCACCGAAATTGGTAACACCAACAGACTACTTCTCATTTGGAACTGTTTTTCTAGGAAGCACTTATGCTTTTAAGCGCTTCTAGCAAAAGTGCTTCTATTATAAATATGTTGAAATTTTCATAAGAAATCGAAGTAATTCCTGGAAAAGCACTTAGAAGTGCTTCTATGACCTAGAAAAACTTCTAAACTTTCCCATCAAACGCTATAAGAATAAGAAGTGCTTTTGATTGTCATAAAACGCTTTTAACCTTTCCAGAAGCACTCCCAAACATATAATATATCTAGTCACTCAAAATTCAATCCAATAAATTATATCTAACATATTTATGTTTCTTCCTAATCCCCTGACCTTGGTCTCATGCTTTGGTTGTACAAGACAAGTTGTTACTCTCCTCAATATATTATCGCCTCTATTTTTATTTATTTTTTAAAATTCCATCTAAGACCATCTCCAACCCTTGGGGTGGAAACTCAAATTTTGAGTTTAGCCTCCAAATACCATCTCCAACCCATGTATTTAGGGGGGTGGAAATTTGAGAAATCTCAAATCTTGGGTGGAATTCCAGTCCCTTTTTTGCCTGGATTGATAATTTTGTGGGCCCAAAATCTGCTTTTTTTATTATTTTTTTTCTGACTGAAGCCCATGTGCTGCACAATGTTTGCTGGGCCCAGTTTTAGTTACACTGTTTGGCCAGCAACTTTGTGCCAAAAATCTGATATTGCTGGTTTGTTTTTTGTTTTTTTTGGTTTTGTTTTGTTTTATTTTAAATATTCCAACAACTATATTTGTAATCAATAATCATGATTAATTTTAAGCAATCTCAACGGCAAAATTTAATGATTGTCGTTTATTTAAAAATGCTTAGATAATTTAAACACACTTACATAATTCAATGAAGAGTTCGAATTATTCCGGGCATACGTATGGTATTGTACTTATTTTTATTTTTTAAGTGAAATTCAATTATGTTTTGGAATTTTATTTTTTTTAGGTTAAAATGTTTAGAAAATTAAATCACGAGTGTTGAAACAAAAATAATGTCAAGAAAAATTAACAAGAAACAAAATTTAGGGGTTAATCATTCTTAAACAATTTAATAAAGTTGCGAACTCAAATTATGAGTCTACAAGGTTGGAGGAAAAAAAATTTTGAATCCTGAAAATACATGAATAGTTGTATTTTGGAGGGTGAAAATTTGAGTTTAGCCCCAACATGGTTGGAGATGGTCTAAATGGATCTTAGAATTTTCACAACCGTAAAGAAGTGATCACCGGACCCAGGTCTAAACTTAATTTATGGGCTCTCAAATTACACAACCCACGAGCTATCAATAGCTTATTTCTATTTTCTTAATTCCATTATTTTTGTAAATAATTAGGGTACAGTTAATTAGAGCAATTTATTGATTTAATTTATTATTATTATAACTATTAAATAAATAAATAATAAAAAGATATATACTTTTGTCATGGATCCCCTCCCTCCCCGAAAACATGGGCTTCGGCAAACTACTGTCCTCGTTTCATATGGGCTATTGGCTCTATGTCTCATACATTATGTCCCCGGATTATAGATTAAGATGATTAATTAGATGAAAACCATATTTAAATATGCAAATATAATTCTTTAGCTCCATGGCATTGTTTTTTTATAGGTGGCTATGGGTGCAATGGTGGGTTCCAATTCTTTGTGCTTGAGTGGGCCTAATAAGTATTTATTTTTAATTTTTATTGAGAATGGGCCTAATAAGTATACTTCTTTGGAGGTATATAAAGTCGGGCCTAGTTATTGAGCCCCTCTCATGTTTTTGGATTAAAGAGGGACTATGTTGAATGGTTACAAATTACAATGAGAGGTTCAATCTAACAGTCCAATAATAGCTCTGCACGGAATCGACTATTTAGGACCCCCTCATTTTACCCTTCATGCTTTTCCTTTACAATTTTTTTCTAGCTACTTTGTAATGAAATTTCAGTTTAAACACCCAAAAAAAAAAAAAACAATAGATAAGAAGTTGATTTTTTTTATAAAAAAATCAAGAAATTTAACATATTATGTTGTTAGATTCATTTGAGTTATGATATTCAAATATGAATTTAGATGAGTGAAAAAAAAAATTACATGTAGCACAAATCACGATGAAATCGATTTACCAAAAACCATGCGGGGTTTGTTTGTTGCAAGAAAGCTATAGAACAAGCAATGTGGGCCGGCATTTTTCAATCTAAAAAAGGTACAATTTTGATTAACTTGAGAAGCAACAAAATCTTTGCTTGCAAAAGCCATAACGTACGGCAAGAAAATTAATCAGATGTGACCAGTTGACAAGAGTTAGAAGTTTTGATGAGAAGTCGAAGGCTTGTTCAACCTCACTCCTGGCAAGTATCGGCACACGAACTCTCGAGCCAATGCCTGAAGATCTTCCCCATCAATAAGTTCTTGATCCAATGAGTTGAAAAGGCTTGTCATTTCTGCTGTGTGTGGCACTGTTTGTAGAGGATCAAAATGCGTCAAGTTGGAAGTTGGCACAAACTCTGAGCATGGCGATGATGTCACATTGATATGGGACGAGGAATAGTGAAGGCTTCTGGGTGGAGGAGGGCATTCGAGTTGAGACAGCGGAGGTGGAGGCGGCGCTCGCTGCAAGGTTGCAAGGCGGGCCTGGACATAGGCTAACTCTGCCTGCAAATTCACTACCTGCAAACGATAAGATGGATTTAATTCACTTGTTCTTCTTTCTTGTTGGTAAATATTGATGTAGTCAAAGTGTTATAAGGTGAAAATATTAATTAATATTTAATTTAATTTCCGTTCAAGAGACACAACTAGGTCAAATTGCAAAGGTTGACATGTATATACGTGGACTAGTTTGATATATATCCTCTATCTTAATCAGCAAAAGCATATGCATTTGGAGCAACACTTTCATATAGTCAACCTACCTAACAGAGGCTTATCTTATGGAATTCTACCGAACTCAAAAGCTAAATATCTTTCCAATCTTATGGCTTTGACGTGTGGGAAATGTGATCATATATATTCTAGAACATTTTGTGTATGCACCATATATACCATCTAATTAATAATTTTACACATGATGAATAAGATTTTAGTACCATAAAGGCAAACGGTTGTCATCAAATAAAGCAAAAGATTATATATATCTACAGTTATTTTCCTATACGGATATCTGCACGTTATTACTGTGCGGACATCATTGTAAACAAAGAGAAAAACTGGAAGTAGCAGTAGAAAATACATGGTGTTGATAAATATATATCTACATCAAGCCATTCCTTGTGATTAAAGGAAGAAGGTTTGGTATATTTCAAAACCCACAAAGTGTAGGGCCCAAAATTTATCATCCATGCAAGAGAAACAATAATAATCATATCTATAGGTGGTATTAATGCAAAGAGATTAATCTATGTTTTCTTCGGGATACCAATAATATGAGAATGCATGGTTAAGAAAGTCAAAACCAGGTGTATTAAATATTTCTCGAATTACTAAATATGCTTGCTTGGTAGCTCCGGCAAGCAACAAGAACCCCCAAAGTCATCCACCCAATACACCACAGCCGCCACCCATCTCTCTCTCTCTCTCTCTCTCTCTCTCTCTCTCTCTCTCTCTCATATGAGAAAAATAAGAAGGTGGAACAAAAGCTTTAGCATAATTTTCACAAACTTCAAAATTGTATTGGAAAAGAAAGACCAAGTAATTTTGACAGATCGAACCCTCCCATCTAGCTCTAATAATTTGCAAGTGATTAGACCCAGAAACCAAGAAAATCAGGCGCACTTTTGCTAGCATGGACTACATATGTATCACCAAAAAAATTGCAACAAAGACTTTAAAACTTGTGGAACACGCAGTCTTGATCTAATCCTACAAATCGTAAACCTTGAAAAACGTCTAGGATTACATGTACAGTGATACTTGTCAAAGAAATGACAGGTAGATGGAAACCCACCAGGCGCATGTTAGTACAAATATTCACCACTACCATGAACTCGACAGTGGCTTGCAATTGTCAATTTGCAACTAATTGAAAAAAGGGTACTAAAGCTATAGGTACTACCACGCTTACATTTGAGACACGAGATTTGTTATTTGTACAATATTTACTAATCACTTTTAAGATTTTTTCTCAAATAAAAATTGGTTCGTCCCATGGGAGTTAAGTTAGAGAGGCGATTAGTAAATGTGCTCCAAATAACAGCAAATTCTTACCTGAATGAGTGGCTAGAATCTAAAGTAGAGTGTCAATAATATCACTGGCTATGAAGAGATCAAGCAAACAATTTCATCTCAAGAAAGTGAGAATTGAGCTCTAACCAAACTTTCTCAGAAAAAAACTCGAGACCCACATGAGACCCATGCTCAAGATTCCACACAATTAATTAATCTCATAAAATGGTCAACAAATTTGAGCTTAGAAGGTCAAGGAAATTAATGAAACATTAATCAATTAATTAAGATTTGAGGAGCTGATGATTTGACCTGCTGTTGGAGGGTGAAAATGTGAGAAACGCAGCCATAGACAGGGTCTCTAACCCTAGCAAGAGCCTCATAGCAGAGGGTGACGACAGCATCGAGCCTCTTGTGGGGTGGTACGCGCAGGAGAAGCTTGGAGGCATTGCTTGCACCAAACACTTTGTGCACCGCAGCAAAGTGAGCCGTGCCTTGCTCTGAGTCGAAGTAGGGAGCAAATATGCACCCTTTTATGCATTTTCTCCTCAGAAACTTGCAGGCACCACAAGGCCCTCCACCTCCTCCTCCTCCTCCATTGTTGTTGCTTCCATTTGTTGATGATCCACTCATCTCTCTCTCTCTCTCTCTCTCTCTCTCTCTCTCTCTCCAGAGCTAGATATTAGCTTCTTCTTCTTCTTCTTCTTCTTTTCAGGCAGTTTAACTAGTTGTTGTGGGGTCTGAGAGAAAGCTTAGTATATATAAAGGAGGATGATAGAGGGAGAGAGAGAGAGAGAGGTTGGGTTGGATTATTGTTATATGTTTTTATATTTATTTTATTGATGATAAATTGTGCAAACTTTGGTGGTGGCTGGTGGGTCACTAGAAGGGACTGGTTGTTCCATTTTTATTTCCATCAGTTAAATTTTCTCTTTTGCTATGCAGACAAGTAAAAAAAACAAACACCACTGTCACTTCAATTTTGTAAGTTATCGTAATTAGATATGCGAATACAAAATATATCAGAAATTTTCAAATACATATACTATGTGTACGGCACAAACCATTCTTTTGGGCCCACTCTATAATCTACATTTCATGATATGAATCATTTATTTTTTAGGACATGTATCGCATAACAAAAAAATTCGGCCAATGAGTATTCATGTAATTGTAATCGAATAAAAAAAGATCAAGTAATTAGTCGATTTCTTATTTCAATAATTTTTTATTTTATAAAGATGATCTTTGAATAACACTATTCAGACCAGACCTACAACATGACACATCACAATTCGTTTCGTTTATTAACATTATTTATTAACCAGCATAACTTGAGTAGTCTAGGATACGTGATGTAATTAGTGTATATATTCCCTATACAACATGAATTATGTATATATATATATATGTTGATATTACTACTAGGCTCCCATTTTTTCAAACTTGGCTTAAATGACTTGCAATCGGACATACTTCAGCCCTAAATTTAAGTAATACTACGAATAAGAAAAGCTTTTATTCAATTCATAGTGGCATATATACAATTCTCTCCTGTTTATTTTAATGTGTCAGAGAGAGAGAGAGAGGGAGAGAGAGGTTGATATGTGGCTCAAACTTTAAAATCACGTCAAAACAGAAAAGAAGTGGAGTAGTTTGCGTTAAGCAAACAAAAACATGCGGTTATCAGGTATCAGCTTAGCTACTTGCATAAGTTTCTATACATTCATTCAGATATATGGTGCGCAGGCCTCTAGCGTTCACCTCATCAAATGTATTGCTAGTCTAGCTCTACACCTAAATATTCTTGTGAAATATTTGGTAATTGCAAATAAGTTTATTGTGATTGGAAATATCAAGCTAATGACAACCATGGTATGGTATTCCAGTGGTAAATATTTCAAGACATAACCCAACGGTGATCTGGTAGGGTATACAGATATAGGGTGAGATGTAAACTCGAACTTACTTTATCGGCACAAAACACTTCCTTTCCATGATTCGTGTGTTTGTTTTGTGTGTGGACATTTGTCTCGATTTAATTTATTTATCGTGAACTTGTCTTTTGATTAAAAGAGGATATGAGATTCGAACTTGAAATCTCTTTCAACATCAGGAAGCGAAGTCCCGTGAAACTAAGAGCTAATTCCTTATCCTGATGTCTTTTGTCCAATAGAAAAGTTATAATAAGCACTTCTCAAATTATAGCAACGAAATTATGTTATAATAAGAACTTCTCAACTTACAAGAAACAATGATTAATTATTTGGGCTGGGTTATAACCCACTCACAGTATTGCATTCCAAGCCCACGCACAACCAATTACATTCAACCAATCCACCCAAATTTGAACTGATTCCAATCCACTTTTCAGCTTATAATTTTTCTTTTAGGGAGGGTGGTCAATTTTCAGCTTATAAACCTACCCGTAATGCCACATGACTCATACATTTTCATGAATGCCTAAGAAATTGGTATGGTTTAGTTCATTTGAAAACGCTAGCTTATACTTTAATTGTCTTTTATTAAAATAAAAAATTATACTAGCATCAGTCGTGTATGAACACGTGAAATTTACAGATTTACAAATTTATAATGAAGCACACAATCATTAACAATTTTACCAACGCCACGCACTCAAATACAACTGATGCTAACGTAACCCCGAGGCTAAGAGACTAGTTTGTGCAGTTATGTCCCATGTTGAAGTGATGGAATTAGAAGAGTGTGGTAAAAGTGAAATTCATTTATGGTGACGTGGACAGGTAGACCGTACAGGCAGAAGCGCAGGCTAGTGAGTGATTCAGTGAAATTAGTCAATCCGTCGTTTTAGTCATCAGCCAAGCCATAACACTCACACACACTGAGTCACTGACTGACTGTCATGGGTTTATTTTTTCCAGCACAGAAAACCATGCGAGGTTGAAAAAAAATAGTTGATGCAAGCAATCAATTAGCAAACCACACACCCATACATCGTATCATGGCACGTGCAACTTTCTTTTTATCACCTCTGGGACCCACTGCCACTTGTCATCTTCTCATCCGTCCTCCCTCTCCTACACGAACACCCTTCCCCTATCTCCAAACAGCAACTCAGGTCAATCAGTGTACTGTATAATTTACACATACTGTCCCTTAAAAACCTAACAGGAGCAAATATATGAGCTCAGTTATTATCCTGCGTGCATAATGAATGTTCTTGGTTTCTAATTTAGACTTGTTTGAATTTATATATTTATTTGAACAAAATTGCAAACACATATAGCTCTTGTTCAAACTTAGGTCACTTTATGTCACATTAAAGCAAGGCGATCGAGGTGAGGTAGGATATTATATATCATGTTTCAGTCCCTTAGCTCCCCTTATTTGGAAAGTCACTTTCTCGGACTTTCTTTTTTTTGGTCCGAGGATATATACACGTCGTTACGTGCATGTTTTTCTTGTTAAAGTTATTTATCAATAACTGGCTTTGTATTTACTTTTATAAATCAAACTTTAATAGTAGGTTAACCGATAATTAGGTGTTGTCGTGATTGATATCGTCATAAATCTAATTTAAGTAATTTACTGCCTCGTGCTATATATCTTGACTGCTATAACATTTAGTAAGGTCGTTTTGATTGATAATTTACACTTCAATGTGAGTGCAGTCTTCGAAGTGAAGTTTTCTAAAATTTAGGTCTGACATATACTGAAAGGGACATACCTCTATGTGATGATTTGCAGGAAAATCGATTTTAGATGGAAACCAATGATTTTTGGTCTACTTTATATATTTTGCAAAGACAAGCCTTAAATGAATAGTTAAAAATTTAATGGAGATGATCGTATCATGACCACTAAATAATGGTAAGGGACAATAAGGTCTAGTTTAGTGGAAAAAAATCTTGATTTGCAAACAAATATTCTCATGTTTGAACCCTCATGGCACCGTAGTGTGTATGAAAACCCCTTTCTTTTCTTGTAGTTTAGACTATTACTTTTATTTTAAAAAATATATTAACAAGGGAAAATATTTGCACAGTAAGGAGAATTAAGGCGATGTATGACAACTTAATAAGTTGCTACCGTAGCGATGATAAAATTAGATGATCAAACTTAAAACTAATCGAAAAAGAGGTTCGAAATATTTTAAACACTAGAAATGCAAGATTTCATTTTCCAAATGTGGGAGAAACTCTCAACATGCATATGATCGATATGTATATATATTAATTAATCTCGTTATATGCATTATTTTATAATCCACAAAATCCGGGCTGGATTATAGAGCAAACCAACAAAAGATTATTAGGGCAAGGACAATTGAACCATTAAGAAAATAATTAAATCCCTAGGGTATGTGACTGGTGTATGGAAATCCCTTATGGAACTTATATAAATTTCACACGGAATGACTAGGACAGTTGTGAAGAAGAGAAATTTTTTATTTTAAATTTAGAATATCTGTTCCCTAGAACTTGTATAAGTCTATAGTCAAAGGAGACCTATAGCCGCACAAGCCTAGCCTATAAATTTCTACATGACCTAAAATAAGTTTAAGATATGCAAAAGACCCACTGTGTAGTAGTTCGGAAAAATTGTTTTTCGAAAAAAGCTTTGGGTTCGAGTCTAGTATATGTGTAGTGTGTGTGAGTTTAGCAATTGCTTTCCGGAAGAGAATGCAACAAAGGAAAACCCTTTTCAACGTCTCTACAACTGTATTACATTAGCATAATACATCATCATTAGTGCTGAATAGTAATTAATTAGCAGATTAGTCAACAATATTACAGATGGATCCATTTGTAGTTTGACTAACATGCAACTCTAAAACCCTGATTAATAATAATAGTTCCATGATTAGCCTGGTCCAAAAATCTTTTCTTTGACTAGTTTTAATTCTCCCTTTTGCGCTTCCATTGATTAAATATAATTACTCTTAGGCTTTCAATTAGCAGCTAAGTTGCCGCATGTTGGGGTGACATGCTGCAATTTAAAACACATTTCTTCCTACTTTAAAGTGGCAAAGCCAAGCCAGTGCTAATTAATCATAAATATTTTGTACATTTTTAAGATTTTGAGGGTTTTGACCGCACGGGTGGGGGACTCGTGGGGCACCATTGCTGCTACCAAAAGTTTAGGTGAGCCTCATTGCAAGACACTAGTTCAACATTGAGGGACAGTCTTGAGCAATTATTCGAAGACTTTTTTTCAAATGTACATTCTAGAAACATTTTGGCAATACAGGTGATCCCTTTTCAAATAATCTTTTATTTGCCTGAGCTTCCTTCATGATCAAAGCAAAATAACGATATTTAACTTGTTTAATTTATGAACGCGGATATTCAAGCACGAATCTATGTGTATGAATAACTTATAACGAGTCAGCATACTCACAACGAGCTATATGATCGTAATTGTTCAATTATTTAATTTTTTAAAAGAGCATTCTAGTTGCGACTATTGAATTGATATCGGAATGATGTTGATTAAGTTACTCAAAAGATCAATAGTTATAATGATGGTATATCAGTGAAATACAAGTTCGGTGCTTTAGGCACGTAAAATAACACTACAAATTGCAGCAGATATATATATACAGATATCCACAATGTCTTCAACGTAATTCCTGTGCACTCCCACAATCCATCAAATAATTATAATTATAAAAAAAGATAGAGGAAGCGGGAGATGTACTCTCTCTATCTGTGTGCCACTGTGACAACGTAAGCTAGTGATCATCAACAACCGTAGGACCACCTTAAAATCAGGACACGTGTCGAACATCAGAGGCACTCATTGAACTTTCTTCCT